GAGTTCAGCGAGGTCGTTGATTTCTCCGCCACTGTAGACCACCCTGTTGAGCTCTGCCCAAACGGTAATCGAGGGGGTTTAGGACAGGGTCACACTCGGATATTCCGTCTTCTTCAGGTACTCAACGCCATTCCGAGTAGGCGAGAGTTTTTCAACGCCCTCCGATTGCATGACATAGCACGCAATTCTGCAGCAGTACGAATTTTCCAAGGAGGTACAGGCGACGATATGAAGGCAGGATATTCTCCTCAAGTTCTTCGATGTAACCATCAGCGTTCACTTTCAGTGCGAGGTCCACGAAGAAGTTATCGGTCTGCCCATTTTGGGAACTTCCGGTCCATACCATCAACGCGCTTGGCGACTGCGGTGAAGATGATATCCTGGACCGTAGCGACGTTGTCGGAGCTGCTCGATCTTGGAGGTCTTGGAGGTCAATTACTGGTGACTCGGGAAACGTATCTTTTTTTCTGGCCCCTGTATGGTATACGCATGTACTGGGTAGAATTAAGTTGCTGTCCTCGACACGACATGCACCACTAATGGACCTACGAATCGTGGCGAGAGAGTTGTTGCAAGCAGTGTGATGTGCACAGCATTCGCGCTAGGACCCAATTCAGTTAACGTGGCAGCGCAGAGGCGGCGTGTATACCCTCACTAGTTCTGTGTCTTCCAGGTCAATTAGCTAGAGGAAAATACGATGTCGCGGCACGGAGGCAACGATATATACCACTTTCACTTCAAATTGGCCACTTTTCAATCAAATTCACCACTCTTACCAGGAAAGGTCAACAAGTCAGCCTGGCCATCTGCAATGAGATGCACATCATTGTACTCACCTTGACACGGTGAACTCAGAACTGTCTTCAAAATTTGCAGAACGATTCTCTGAGCGGAGTTATGGAGGTTTTCTTTACTGTTTTTCTTCTTACGGGCGCGCTGGCGCCGAAGCGTTGGCACATGTAGCGCGACTCACAGCGCTCTTCGCGCAAAACAGGTATCATATTCGTGTTCAGGGGGTCAAATAACCCCTAGGGACGTCACCTTAGCAAAATCTGAGCTTCTGACTCAATTAGAAGCAAAGGAAAGGAAACATTGGGAAAGGAATACACTCCAGAGCACAGATGATCCGTTTCGCTCGGTATCGCAGACGAATTCGGAAACTTCGGAAAAATGGGGTAAAATGGGGATAGTCATGGCTGACTGATAGCTAACAGCGATACTATGACTAGCATACTGGTGATGACTGGTCTTCGAACTGAAATAACTCTTCAGTCATGTCTTTTCGCAAACAACAGTACCTGGCTTACTTATTTGTGCCGTCTGCATCATTTTCTTGACTATCGGGAGGAAATCCCATTCCGAGACCAGTCATCGATGGTAGGTGAGCTCCAATCTGCTGCTAATTACCCATGGAATAGCCCACATTTTCCAAGTGAGGTCGAAAAATCAGATTCGGCTAGAAACTTGTCCCCAGGGGTAATTTAACCCGCTGAACATGAATATGATGGTATTTCATTGCAAAAACCCTTGTGACACGTGTTACGAGGGGTACAAGCAGAAGCACTCTTTCAGGCCACAATGGGTCTACACTTTCAAAAAAAACTGATCGCAGGTTCCCTTATAGGGTAGTGCAGGCGAGCAGAGATGTTAGAAGCTTTGTCGGCTATGTTCTTGGACAAATGCAAAAAAGCCATCTGCCCCGGAACCGATCCTACGACGTCTCGCCTAAGAAACCCGCTCCCTACCCGTTGCGCTCTGCTACCGTTTCAGAACGACTCCATACATAAATGTAAAGACGCTTCCACGTTTCCTCGCGATAGCATGTGAAACGACCATGGATAAAACCCTCCATAACTCCGTTCAGAGAATCGTTCTGCAAATTTTGAAGACAGTTCTGACCACCATCCCAAGACGCGTACAACGGCTCACTGGAAATGGCCGCTCTGACCTGATAACCTTTCCTGGTTAGACCAGGCAGTTCACCAACCAAATCACGCCAGACACCACCGCGAACCCTGCCCCGACGGTCACGCCTACTTGTCAGCGCGGACATAGATTTTCAACACATGACTGACTCCGCCCATTCTTTAAAGTTTGTTGCGAACTTCAAATCTTCATAACTTTTCAATTTTTAATTTCACATCCACTCTTCGCACAACGAAGGTACTCGTAGACGCGCATTCATGCACCGGCAATTAGTTCCCCTTTGGCCACGCCCACTTGCTTTTTGCGGAATTATGATATTTTTCAAAATTTTTGCATTTTTGGACTGCCCCGTGAAGCCCCGCCCACTATGAGAGGCTCCGCCCACTTTGAAGAAGCCCCGCCCACTTTTCAAAAATGGTGCAAATCGGCAGTATAGAGCCATGGCTTGCATGGCAAGGGTATTGCTGGTCATTAGGAACAAACTTTGCCTGATTTATTTGTTCCGAGTGACGGACGAGACCCTAGCATGCAAGCCAAGGCTCTATACTGCCGATTTGCACCATTTTTGAAGCGGGGCTTCTCCAAAGTGGGCAGAGCAGCGTTGCATGTTGTGTGACAGTTGAGGGTAGCCTCTCATAGTGGCGGGGCTTCACGGGGCAGTCCAAAAATGCAAAAATTTTGAAAAAATATCATAATTCCGCAAACAGCAAGTGGGCGTGGCCAAAGGGGCGGAGCCTAAATTGCCGGTGCATGAATGCGCGTCTACGAGTACCTTCGTTGTGCGAAGAGTGGATGTAAAATTGAAAAAGTTATGAAGATTTGAAGTTCGCAACAAACTTTAAAGAATGGGCGGAGTCAGTCATGTGTTGAAAATCTATGTCCGCGCTGACAAGTAGGCGTGACCGTCGGGCAGGGTTCGCAGTGGTGTCTGGCGTGATTTGGTTGGTGAACTGCCTGGGTAAATTTGGTTTGAAAAGTGGTGAATTTGGTTTGAAAAGTGGTGAATTTGAAGTGAAAATGGTATACATCCACGGCACTGTGCAATACATCGAGCTTGCATGTGCTGCGCCCCATCAATTGTATTGTTACGCACCCTTCAACCCTCACTCACTTGATAGCGTAGTAGACGAACACATTCGATGCAAGTCCGAGATTCACTGGAACACCGGCATACATATTGATAACAACGATTATGTAGGGATCGTTCGTGAGCCAATAGTACCACAGAGTTCATCGTGAATGTCAACAACCAGCTGCATATAACAATGACCACGGTCACGGCTATCGATTTGAAGACGGTTTTCATTTTAGAACCTGCAAAAAATGTCTTAAGTATGATTGCTAGGTATACTCCACATCCCTGAGAAGTTGCAGGCGTGACTGCGCACTTCATCACACAAGCACCGTTGGATATTTCAATTTGATACAGCTGCCATCTTGTCCATTCTTCAACAGGAGCGTGGTTATAATTGTTCCACAAAATAAATGAAGGATAAGGATGAAGTTTCAGCGATTGATCAATCAATTTTTGGGATGCAGCTCACATTCTAATTTCATTCGGAATCGCGCTGTCGTATGCGATGTGGCCTGTACTATGCCTTGTGGGAGCCAGCCGATGTACTCCCAGACGTATGGTGCCAATTTACTGTCCTCGGACGGTAGAAAGCTTGGTTGGCTTCAGGTGGAAGCCAATCCGGGATTCGACTTCTAGGACCGTGCGCATGGTAAGCGTGCTACATGCCGCTACACCATATCTATCCCCACCTACAAAAAAATAGCTCAATGAAAGAGCTACACCCTCACTCTTGAACAGTACACAGCGCCAAACCGCACCCCAGGGATACAGGGTGTGAATGAGAGAATTATCGAAGAAGTCAAAGTCCTTCAACTCCGTTGTTGCCAAACTTTGGCTCTTTGACACCGTTATATGTTCTTGTCTCTGAGGCGTTTTTTGGGTGGCACACTGCCTCCACTTTGGACAAAAATTTGATATTTCAGGGGAATGGATAAGGTACCTTTCCTTACAAAGCTGTCGTGAAAACTGGACTGTTTTGGCTATGAATTTCTTTGTCACCTATCATACTCTCAGTAAACTTAATAATTCGAATTCTGAACAGATAGGACATAACATGGAATTTCCAGACATTCCTCACCTACTTGTTCGAGTGTGGCGCAGTAATGCAGAAATCTTGCTTTTGAGGACAGTCAAAAAATAACGTTTCTCATTAGATCCCCATTCCGTATGCCATAGAAGAGGTGCCAATGAGGACATCGTGCGACGGCCGGCTCTACCTCTCACCGTCAGCTTAGATTCCGCTTCCAAGTACAGCATACTCCTTTGAAGTAGTGACTACAGCTTTTCTGACTGAGCGACATCATCCAGGATTTGGCTGCATCCCTACACCTCCTTCCACCCAGTGTTGGCGGCGCGAGGTGGATCGCGAGGTGAGCAAGGAGATCCACGATGCTGCGGGAAGACATTGCAATGGGCGGCCATGTGCACCGAAGTCGCCTCAAGAGAGACCCGAAGGAATTGCTGCAGTATTTGGAGCCGATTGGCTGGGGAATACTATTTAGTGTTTAGGCGTAGATATCCTGACCCGTACCTCGACGTCAGTCGAACACCCATATGGAGTACGTTACGCAGAGAAAACTAGCCATTGACACCGTCTATGACATGGAGGTTCTGATCGTGCCGACTAAAAGGACCCCCCTGGGAAAAACATGCGTAACGTCAGATGTGGGCCTCGGCAGCACGAAGCCTTCATTTAGATCCTTGGGGTGAGGCATTCAAAGCCCAAAAGTGGAGACTGAACATACTCGGGAGAGCACAATCAAAGAAGAGCAAGGAAAGCCCCCAAGGGTTTTGATATTTTTCGCTCCCCACCTGTTTTGCGGTATAATAGATCTGACCGTCCCGACCTAATCGTTCTGCCAAGCGTTCTTTTGAATCTTCAATCGAAGATTAATCGAAGACCCTTTTCTCATCAAAATCACTCTTTTCAGATACCAGTAGCTGCAGCAACTACGAAATGGATCCAATTGGCGACGTAACGTGGGAAAGCATACCTTTGGACGATTAATCACTTGGTTTGCGGTCACCTGAGAACACTTGTGAGAAATGCTATCTGCACAATGGGAAAATTATGTTCACTGCAATAACACCGATTTGCGTTGAACAGCTCCATGAATTTTCACCCGATCACGGACCTGGGTGATTTTAGCTAAGCGGAAGTTAGAACTTTCGTGAATGGTCCTGTTACGAAACCCTGTAAGGCAGACGGATAGAGCACAGCGGCTGCCAAAGCATTGAAACGTGCAAGAAATATATGGCGGGCCAGGAGACAGGCTTTTTCAGGAGGAGGGCACTCCGGGGTGGGTGAGCTACTTATAATCGGTGAAAAGCTGGAATGTGCGAAGTCACAACGGCCATAGAGTGCCATGCGGACGAGAGAGTGCAGAGAAAAAGAGAACATCGACGCGTTCAAAGGAAGACGAGTGTGTAATCACAGTGCACAGAGACCCCTCCAGCTGCTCTCATCCAAAAGGGGGCCCGTGTGGCGGGACGGCCAGGTGTGGGATAATTATTGGTGTGGAAAGAAGCTGTCTTGGATGGATTCCACATGTAAGGTCTATCATTCACCCCCACTCCTTTCCCATGGGGTCATAACTATCCCCACTTCCTACACATAAAAATAGGTTTGCTTCTCGGCTCGGCTCAAAAGGCTTCCTTAGTTGCGGGGTTATTCCCGCTTCTGAGGCTGTGTCCGGTTTAGGTGTATAAAAGAGGAGCTGGCTATCGTTGTATAGGCCCGAGGGGGGCTAAGGTGGACTTGGCCGGGCTAGGCGGAGGAGGAGGTGAGTGGTAGAGTCGGATCGAGAGGGAGCAATTACGGATGGCCTCTATGGTTTCTTCCTGTGTGGCTACTGAATTTTCTTTGCCACCGGGCTTTCATTCGTCATGGGCTGACTTGTTGTCGCGCGAAGGCTTTGAGAGAGAGCTAGGCTCAATCAGTTCTTCAGTTCAGATCATGGCTAAGCAATTTTTGGTGAAAAGTCACAAACAAGTTTGCGACTGCTGTAAAAATTTAAGTCTGTTCATAGAGAAAACTCAGAATAACAGCGGCAACTCGTTTTCCAACGCATGAGATGACTTCGCAAGGAAATGTTCATCAGAGCACTATGAGGACTTCTCAAATAAAATTCATTGTGCTGAGTGGTGCAGCCCAAGTGGAAAAGGTGGAAAAATGTGTTGATTCTGTGGTTCTTTTCATTTTCATACAAAACTAGAAAAGACTCACTAGCTCCGCTTCTTCTGAGCACGTAAAATGTCAAGGCATATACCACAACAATTGCGACATTCACGGCAATTCCAATTCGATTCAACAGGTCGAACGCTACCACTCCATAACTTTGAGGAATCGAGCAGACAACGAGTCTAAATCAAATAAATCCCAGTATGCAAATTTCAGTTTATAACTACTACACCTTAATTGAGACGGTGGTGGTGTAGAGGTCAGCGGCACGCTCACCGCAAGCGCGGTCTGGGGGTCGATCCCGAATCGACTCCCTCCCAGGCCAAGCCCGCTTGTTCGTCGAAGCTTGTAAATTTGGTAAACGACTCGCTGGGAGGGAATTGCACATCGACTGGCCCTCACAAGTCATTATGTAAGCCATATCCCACTCAATGCACTACAACGATTTTGGATGGAAGTAGAATGCGTGCCGCATCTCAAAGAAGTTGGTTATAAGCGCAGAACTTTCCTTTGACCTTAAAGACAGCCCTCCGCGCCTGAGTAGTACATGGTCGTCCTTCCTTGTGCAAGTAGTACAGCCCCCAAGCTAGAGACTGTCCCACTCTATTCGTCAGCGAGCGAGGAGCGAGCTACAGCCGCTGTAAGTTCTAGTTCTAACGCCTGCTCAGTTGGACCGCCTTACTTGCTAGATGCCCTCCGACGGAGGCCACTCAGTTGTTCTTAGTTGGGGCGGCGGGCATTAATCGGAATTGCATGTCCTTTTTGCTGACCGCGCTCGTGCCCATGGATAATTCTGCTCTCCTTTATTACAGTTTATTCATGGGGCATATACATTCAACTCAACCCATTTCGCAAGGTGAAACGCGTAAAAATCACGAGTGACGCAATTTTCGTGGTGCAAAAGCTCGGCGCACTTCACTACACTAAAATGTGCGCTACCGTAATCCCAAATTCGGACACCGAGTTTTTGAAATTTCTTTTTCCTTCCAAGAGTTTTTTTTTGTTGTTTTTTTTTGTATTCTTTTTTTGCACTGGATGATATCAACTACTGCGAGATGTGATAGAGAGATTTGTGAGCTAGGGGTTGCACAGAGACCGCAGGGAGGTGTGACTGTGAGGAGCGATTTTGTTTATGGCGTTCTTGAGGACTCTTCTTGCTTTTTTTCTTCTCTGGGGATTACTTATCAGCTACTGTTTCATAATTGAAAAGCAACTATCCATGACACTTTTATCGCGGGAGCTGTCTTTAAGCAGTCGGATCACCCAGCTATCAACCGGGGCCAATCCTTCTTGGAACAAATAGCCATGGTCAGAGAAATAACTAAATATTTTGAACTGAAGGGCTCAATGAGCAAATTTTCGAGGGAAGTAAGTTCATCTATCCCCGTCCACGATGATCAGGTAAGCGCTTCTGTCGGCGCACATATCCCTTAAATGTGAGCCCAATGGCATTACTCTTTGGAAGAGACTGACTCCGGTGGGCAAGTAAAAGCTCAAAGATCCAGAGAGAGTCCAGCATGTGGTCGACCGTGTGAACAAAACGATGTTGCGTCAGCTGTACAACAATTAAACCACGGTCTGCTCATTATCAACATTTCCTGGAAACTATGAAAGAACTCTGTGAGCTGAGAACAGACTTACGAGTGATCTTTATGCAAGAACCCTTGCACGAGCAGAAATAACCCATACACTGTAGGCCCTAGTAAAGAACACACCACATATCGATATGGTATCGTTTGCAGGAAGCGATATCTGGAAAGATTATTTCAAATGACACTCTGCTTTTTGAGCATAAACCCTCAAACAGTCAATTTCACTCGTTTGTGTCTCGAATCTCACCTCCTTCCCCATACTCGGGCAATAATACAGGTATAGCAAAGTTGGGGCAAGTTTCAGCTCTCGTGTGAGCCAAGATCAACT